AGGAAACACTGTATACATCCTCTTGTAGCACCTCCAGACATGTTTTTCTGCAGGTGCTATGAAGGAGCTAGTCTTTTTATTGAGGCTGCTATGAAGGAAGTGGTCATGCGTACCTATTGTTCTCTAAAACACCTTCAACACTAGCAGATACACATGCGTGCACAAAACCTCCACAACACCCGAAACAATCATTAATACACATCATAAACATGTGAACAATCGCTGACTTTTCCATGAAATCATAAACACATACAGCCACACAGAAAACCATCTAGAGTGTTGCAAGGTTAGCTAAAGTTAGCATTAGCATTTCCAGCGGCAAAACCCTGGACTGCTGCGGCGGTTGAGGGTTGACTCTCTTCATCCAGATCCGTAGGTTTTAGTGGGTTTGAGATCACTTCCAAACATTCATTCGTTTCTGACTGAACCCGTGGAAATGTGGGCAACAAAACCCGATCCATTTTACCACTACCTTTCATTTGTTCACAGGTGGAAAATGAGGTCAAAAGTTAACATCAATTTCCTGTTTTGGTTTAAGTTTTTACTATCTATATGATAATTTACTGATTATTTTGTTTTCTATGTTAAATACTATCACATCCACACATTAAATTAAAATTAAATTGTAAAAAAAAAATCTAATATTTACTTGGGGGTGCAATGACTAATCCAGGGGTAGCTATAGCGTCCCCCTGGTGCCGCCACTGTCTTGTGGATTCCTGGACCTCATTCTCTATTGTTATTGCTTCATCCTTTGAATGCAGATTGAGCCAAGCTCTGAAAGGCTATTTCATCCTTCTGGCACCCGCCTGAGTGCTGAACACATCTTTTGTTGTTGCTCCGATCAAAAACTCAGAGGGAATTAAAAATGATTGCATCAAACCAGAATCAAGTGGAGCACAAAAAAATCCTCTAAAGGATATTGTCTGTTTGTTATCCAGAGCCGGGCTTCATTAGAAAAATATCTCTATCATGGAGGGGAATGTCACCGCTGGTTTAATCACCATTATTTTGCCTATTATTTCATAGCCAGTGTTCATTATCTCCTGCGAGGACTGTGCTTTCAAAGGTCAGTGGTGACGCTCCTCCATGAGCAGCAGCAGTAAAGAGACAGATCTCAGAACCTGACACAAACCAACACTTGTTGACTTCAGTGAGGCATCAGCATGTTAATGCGTTCCTGCACATTAGCGTCCTGTTTATCATCCCAGCCTTAACCTCTGCTGTCTTATCATTGCTCCGTGTAATGAGATCAAATTATTTATCATCATGGATCGTTCCAGTAACAGATTTTCACTCCCCAGCATATGCTTCAGCAGAAGTGGGCGATTAGCAGAGCCCATCCTGTAGGAGCAGAAAGAGTGAATACTTTATCCGAGGAGCAGTCAAGTCCAGAACAAATACATCCTTGAGAGAAAATTACAATAATGAAACATTCAGATACACAACTTTAATAATGTGATTAAGCTTTTGTTAACATTTTAAAGGAGTGGAACACTGAAAAAACATGTTTTAATAATTATGGCCTGTATTTAATATCCTGGAGCCCCCAAGGCACTTTACAGCACAATCAGTCATTCACTCATTCACACACACATATTCACACCCTGGTGTGAATATTTCCGATTATAAACTGTCACTCTGTGTTTTTCATGAAAATAGTCTCCTACACCTATCTCCTGCATTAGCTTCTGATAGAAAATAGATGGTAAAACTCCAGGATTAGAAAATCCTGACTGATCTACGTCACACTGTCACTAACATTCATGGACTCACCCACCTTGGCTCACGACGGCTGTTGTTGGTTTAGCATCCAGGAAACAGCAGAGAACATCTCGGCTAGTAGAAGCTAACTGTTAGCACTAGCAACTCCACCACACAGCAGAAGTCCTCCAGGCTGGTGTTATTTGTGGAGATTAAACATAAATGTTGCAGAGCAAACAGAATCAGTGGTAAGAGTTGCTTTGCTGTTATCCAATCAGAGGTGAGATGTCCAAATGTCAGGAAATAAGAGTCTGAATCCTGCCATCTGAAGCTACTGTCTTCTCCAGCTGACTTGTACTTCCTGCATCTGAAGCCCCTCCCCCTTACGCATTTATTCCTACTGGGGAAATGTATTGGCAAACAAGTGTTCAGCTCCTTTAAAGTGACAGTGTGTATTTTTCCTGGTGATAGGGGCAGTAGATACCTACATTGTTGCAAGCAAGCAGTGTTTTTGTGTTGGCGCAAGACCTTACCAACGGATGCCCATTAGGGTCAAAAAGCTCTGGGGAGTGCAAACTTTAGCAAAATAACAAGCACATCAGACTCCCTTTCATCACTGGCAATAAGCAGAGAGGTCAATGTGTAAAACAACAACATTTAAGAATGAAGAAAGTTTTGTAACTGTTTTTTTACGAATCAGTAAATGCATTTTGTCCTCAAGGGCTCCTGTAGAAGAAAACATGGCATCTAAAATGTCGTCGCGCAGCGACTTATAACCGCTCTCATGTTTTTTAGACTTGATTTTTATGGTTAAATGTTATGAAGCCACCAATATTTTTCAACAACTGTGCATCATTTTATTAATTTTCAACAACATTTTGATGGATATTTCCAGAAATTAATGGTAAAAACTACACATTGTCTCTTTAAGCTTAGGGTTAGGGTTCCTTTAGCCTTGTGAACTCCACTGTGTCAGTGCATCATTTCCCTCTGGGATTAATAAAGTATCTTTGAATTGAATTGAATTGAATTGAATCAGGTGTGTTGGAGCAAAGAAACAGCTAAAACATGCAGAGGGCCTCAAGGACCAGGACTGAACACCACACTTACCACTTCCAAACACTTTAAACCTTTAAAACTCAGTAAATACTCCTCGTCTTACCGACTATGTTATTTGCCTAAACTCACATTGGGAATTGTGCTTCTTCATTGACTGACATGTTGTTTAGAGTTGAGTGATATTGCCTCAGAAACAGCATCCACACTTCATCCTTTTTTCCACAAGCATTTATCATCAAGGCTGCCAACTGCACTTTGTTTCTGAGAAGTATTCATTAGTGCACGGGCACAGAACCAGAACTGTTCTGTTTAATCTCTCCCAGGGGGGTAAATTAGCAGCTTCCAGAAGAATCGCTGCTTGCAAAATTGTTGTTTTCAATTATTGTGAAAGAAAATGTTTGATATTTGATGTTGAAATAAGAGAAAATGACAGTGAATACCACCATACAACACAGAACTGTAAACTAAATATGAAAAGGTGGCTGAAACATCATCAGACTCATTAATTCACTCTTTGCATTTATTTACTGTTTCACAGACATTTTAGACAATTTATATATATTTTTTAAATAAAAATTTTCTACGAGTCTCACAGCCTGTTGAGCAGCTTCCCGTGTGTGCATTGGTGAGCGAGCACATGTGTGTGTGTGTGTGTGTGTGTGCGTGCGTGCGTGCGTGCGTGCGTGCGTGTGTGTGTGTGTGTGTGTGTGTGTGTGTGTGTGTGTGTGTGTGTGTGTGTGTGAAGATTCATCTACCTCAGCTCTCCTAACAACTACTGAAATATTAATAGGAACATTGTTTGCGTCTGAGTTGAGTGCCTCAGAGGGGAGGAGGAGAATCATTGAGAAATGAAAGCAAAACATCAGATTTGGAAGTAAACAGGAAGAATTGTTTTCTACATTTAAAACCTTAAGTAGTTAAAGGTGAAGAGTGAGGATTTTGAAAGTGTGACAGCCGTTTAGCTGGTTTTGTAATCTCCCTTCTGCTGCTGCAGGTTTGCATGATGCAAAACAAGCAACAGATAAAACAAAAACTTCCCGTTCAGTTTACCTGATTTATTGTCACAGAAACCCGTTTGCCTACGTCTGGGTCAACCTGTCTAGTGATCAGAGCTACTTCTGCCATTTAGCCCTAATTCAAATACTTTAGACCTGTTATCATTCGGGTAGATTGGGTTCTCTTGTTTATGAAACTCTTTCCACTTTTTAAAATTGTATTTATTTAATTAAAGAAACTTTTCCATATGTGATTTTAAAGTGTGCCTGGACGTGTGGATGTTTAAAAAACATGTTTGTTGCATTTATTTTATGGGTCCTACTAATCTTGATTGGCTATAGGCAAAAATACAAATGCAAATGAAGGTGAGGCTCAGGTCTCAGGAGGTCAAATGAAACTGTAAATGTGGCAAAAATTGGAAATTGAACAACTTGTTGACAGGAAAAGAACATTTGTTTCTACCTATAAGAACTATCTCTATTTATGTGAAGATTTTGATAAGAATTTAACTTAGTAACTACAACTATATTAGAACTGACCAAAGCGCTTCACAGAGTTCAAATAAAAAAGAGTTCACTTAGTTAACTGATTTGCCTCTAAGAAGAACTTTTTCCTGAAAGAAATCAATTAAATAAATTTGGAGTAACTTATAAATGGGTTTCTTTTCCGATGTTTAGCCTAAATGTGTTTAAACAGTTGACTTTTTGTAAAGTTTAGAGCATTTGACTGGAAGTTGGACTGTTTAACAGACTAATAATCACATTTAAATTACAGTTCTGCATAACATGGTCAAAAATGGCTGAAACTAGAGTTTAGAACATTACTTCTTATTTTAGTCAAACCTGAAAGGAGTCGTGTGGCCCCAAAGCTGCAGGTTGGTTCCTGAAATAAGAATTTAGATTGCTCTGAAAATTATTAGAGCTTCTGTCTTTAAAGGGTATAAGTAGGTGTGCATGTCTCTCAGAGCTTTCAGTTAAAGCTCTTCATAAAAGCATCTTCTAATCCTTTTAAAACTACTCAAAAATGTGCATCCTCTGTTTGTTCATCCAAGAGCTCATTTAATCTTATATTTGATCAAGTGATGCACAAATGTGAAATATTACACAGTTAGAATAAAAACTAAAGTTTTTTCTGTTCAGAAATTAATCAAAAAGGAGTCAAATTTTAAAGAATCGTGTAGAAATGCTTAAAGAAAACAACCTTCAAAGATGTAATTCTGTCCAAAAAGCAGAAATTCGATATAGAGATGACAAAACTGATCATGTTTATTTCAATATTTTAATTCCATGCAGCTGTTTCAGTCACTTCGTACAAAATATTTCATGCAGCATCAGAACTTTCAAAAGGGCAAAACGTGTCAAAAATCACTTCACAGATCAGTCAGCGAGCATGCCAAACAGGATCACAATCACCCCATAAAGCTGCAGGAAAAACCTACAAAATATCTGAATGTAATTTTTTACCCAGCGTCACCAATAAAAATACGTTTCTTCTCCAGAAAATATCACCCACAGCACGTCCACGGGTTACACTTGCAGGCGTGGAACTTTCACAATCATGCTTTTGGTCAATTTCATTTCTAAAAATAGAACAAATAACATGAGGTAACAGCTTGTAAACATTGTGGTTGATCTGTTCAAGTTGGCACTGTTCAAGTCACTTAAAATAGGATCTGTGAAAACGTGGAAACAACTGCCTTGATTTTACGCACGAACTTTACGCACAAACATAGTCGTTGAACTACTTTCCCGTAGTCATTTCGGAAGGAAATCTGACATGTTTGCATATGTTTTCCTTTCTTGGACGAAGATGCAGATTCTGACCCAAGGTATGAAATCCGCACCAGATCCCCGGATCCTCCACATGTGGCCATCTAGCCAAGCCCGATCATAACCGTTTCCACGTCTTTGGAGGGTCTCCGTTCTCTCACCAGGAAGTTAATCATGCTCTCTGATTTGATCATCAGGTTGCAGCCGAGGAAGAAAATTCCAAACATGACAGTGAGAGACAGGACGCACAGCACAGCGATCTGCACCACCCGCATGACGAAGAGTTTGCGCTCGTCTTGCAGGAGCACCAGAGAGCCTCCGCTGTCTCCCGTCACCACGCTGTCCGTGCCATTGCCGGAATATGTAGCCAGAGCTCCAGCGAGCGTCTGGCTTCCGTTAAGCATCGCATCTTGGGTCAAGTTGAAGAGAGAAACATTCATGTTTCCGTGCCGGTAATTATCGCCGATTGGACTCCTGCTGGCTGGCGCGAAGTCTCTCCAATAAACTGGAACTCTCAGGAACTCGTTGCTTCATGTGAGAGCTCTGATAAATTTTCAGAAAGGAGAAAACCTCTTTTGTGGTCCAGGTCTACTACCAAGCATGGGGTTTGGCTGCAGCTTCAGGGCGTGATGACTACAGCACGCTGCCAGAGCGCCGCATGATGACCAAACTAAGATCCTTCAACTCCAAGTCCACTGTTATTCTGATTTTATGTAAGTTTGTGAGAAAGGGCACAAAGTGCGACACAGTGTTTCCCTCAGGTGGAACAAGTTACATCGCTGTGCGCCCGAGCCAGTGCGCGCGCTCCGTCTGCCTGCGCTTTAAAGCAATGATGCGATCCCCGCGGAGCTCAGCATCACCACCCCCCACCGTGGGAGGAAGTCAGGCGGCGAAGAAAAAACAGTTTAATATTCACAATTCATGTTTTTATGCTAAATATACTAAAAAGTTTATAAAATGCTTGCGTAATGGAACACTTCCTGAACGTTTCCCACAGGCAAAGCTGATAACAGAAATAAGCTACATCAGCCCTGCAGCGTGTGCCAGTTGAAACAATGCAAAACTGAAAACCTGAAGTCTGAACCATTTAGTTTAAATTAATGTGAGATATCCTCGATGATATCCCAAATGAGAGAATTACAAAGACACTGATTATCTCAGAACCAGATCGGTAGAGGACGCATGATGCAGGAAGGCTATTTTTACATGGAACGCCACCAAGTGGCCCAGTGAACTGGGGTCTCAGGCTGCACCCAACTGATCATGGTCCTCTAACTACAGACCAGTGGAGGAAAGTCAAAGCCTTGGAGCTCTCAGGGCTTGACCCCTACACTGGGAGACTGGCTCTAACAGATCTCAGGAACAACCTCAGAGGAGAGCCACTAAAATGCTGAAAAGAATCCTCAAGCTCCCATTTCTAGAGGACCTGGGCTCGGAGTGAAAGGAGATCCACCCTCTCAGAGGAAAGGAAAAGCTGTGAAAGTGTCAACATACCATACATGTCTTAACCAATTTAATCTATTTATTAAAACTTTAATAAATAATGTGCATCGTTTGTTATGCTTAATTGGATTTCTAGAGATTATTTTCAGACCATTTGTTTTCAATTCAATTCAATTCAAAAATACTTTATTAATCCCAGAGGGAAATTGATTGCTGTAGTAGCTCAGAATAATAATAATAATCAAGTCATCAAAGAGTTGTTGTATATTACAATGGCTGTTGGCAGGAAGGATCTCCAGTAGCGGTCAGTGTTGCAGCCAAACTGAAGAAGCCTCTGACTGAAGACACTCTTCCGTTGTCGGACAGTCTTGTGAAGAGAACGCTCAGGGTTGTCCATCATTTTCTTGATTCTCTGGAGAATCCTTCTTTGTATTATCTCCTCCAGTGTGTAAGGCCTGACTCGAGCTGAGCTGGACCGGAGCGAGAGTTCGGATTGTTGCGTGTATTTTGACCCAAGCGCGGAGTGACTGACGCCGGGCAGATTGACACGTGTTTGCTCTAGGAGTCAAACCGTACAAAGCTAGTGAGCATGGCGGCTCCAAAAGGAAACAAGCTGTCTTACTGTGAGTCGGCAGGGTGAGTGGCTTGGGCTGATCTGGTCAGAACAGGCTTGAGTAATCCGATAGGATCTGGTAGGAACTTGGAGCATAGTCTGGTTAGGAACGATGACTGAGTGGTTTGGTGTTGAGCTGCACTTCCTTATGTAGACGTGGCGGGTGACCTGAGCTGGAAGGCTGGCGCTGGGAATGCTGGGTAGTGGAGTTCGACTGGGCTGAGTGAGTGTGGGTTCCTCCGGGGGAGGAGGTCGAGGGTTGAGAAGGAGGCAGCGTGACACAGTGGTTCCGAAACTGCCGAAACTCTGGCTGAGTCCTTCAAAGGGCTTGGAGTTCCTCCATCTTGTTGGCCAGTGATCTCACATTGACAATTATGATCATTGGAAGAGATGGTTTGAATTTCCTCTTTCTCTGTCTCCGTTTTGCTCCCGCTCTGCACCCACGCTTCTTGTGTTGTAGCGTTTTAGCTCATTTGGGATTTGTGGCTTCAGTTGAGGTATTATTTCAGCCTTTCCAATGTTAATCAGCTGCTCCCGATTGTAAACCAGCTTGTTGCCATGGTTACGTATCATAACAAATGCTCAAAAAGTGAAAACAAAACTAAAAAATAGCAGTAAAAATCCTCCAGGCTTCACAGCACCAGAAACAGAAAAGTAAAGTGTCCAAAAAATACAGTTTTTCTTGACAAACTAGAATTAAAAATGCCCAAGAAAAGGCAAAACTTACATATAGAGCTCCGGGAGTTGACGTCACGTTTCCCGGCATGCAACAGTTCAAATCGAAACGGCGCCATATTGGCAGGTAGAAGCCGGCAGCTGAACTATTTGTTATTGTCAGAAAACTCAGACAGGAAATATGGTGGATTCCTGTTGTGCCCCGGGATGCAGAACAGACACGGACGACATAAGGAATGAGCCATCTACAGGATTCCCCAAGAACCGGAGTGCCGCAAACGTTGGATCATTGTAATAAAACGCGCTAGTGACTGGGCTTAAATGAAGCTGTGGGATCCCGAGAGTAAAGGTTTTCACTTATGCAGCGACCACTTCATATCAGGTACTTAAACCAACGTTTCCTCAACTGTGTATGGTATTTATTTTAAATGCTTTTATTACGATTCTTAGTGGGCTTCCTAAACTTATTTTGGCGTGGCTTTTTCTGTCTTATTACTCACAGCAACAAGTAAACGTCACTTAAAACGTTGCCTCGTGAGTTCTGCGTGCTGCCGTTTACGTGTTTTATGATCACAGCAATTAACCGGCGAAGCTGTATTTAATTTTTAAGCAATGGTTGATCAATTGTCAGATCACACATAAAAAGCACTTTGGATGCTATTATCTGTCTCGCCGAGACAGATCTCAGACAGATCCTGAGACGCTCCTGCCTGACATATTTATTTTATTGACGGAAAAAAAATCAAACTAGTGATTTCTCTTGGCGTTCAGTTTATACATTCAAACAGCACAGCACTCTATTTAAACTACTTACGTGTAAATCTGTTATTTGTCCATCCATCCATCCATTTTTATCCGCTTCTCCGGAGTCGGGTTGCGGGGGCAGTAGCGTCGAGAGGCCCTGACTTCCCTCTCCCCAGCCGCTGGAGCCAGCTCCTCCGGGTAAATCCCAAGGGGTTCCCCGGCCAGGTCCGGTAAGAAGTTCACTCTGACAGCTTCTGGCGTGGGAGCGGGCAGTAGCGTCGAGAGTCCCAGACTTCCCTCTCCCCAGCTGCCTGAGCCAGCTCCTCTGGGGGAATCCAAAGGGGTCCCCTGGCCAGGTCCAGTAAGAAGTCCGCTCCGACAGCTTCTGGCGCTTTTAAAAAGTATCCCAGGGACACGGTAAGGGTCGGAGATGTTTAGTCTATTTAATTTCTGACTATATAAAACGATTTCTTCGGTTTTAAAGTGTGAAGTAAACTCCGACGAAGTAAAATCCAAGCCGATCCCGTTCACGTTCATGGTTAAGATCCGTGTTTGTTTACCTTCTTTTACCTGCCAATATGGCGTCTACTAACTGAGAGTCATGTGGGGTCCGGAGCTCTATAGTCAACAGAGCTACTCCAACATGCAGCCACCCAGAGCTGCGCAGTTCCAGACACACACACACACAAAAAAAAGACCCAGACTGGAGTCCTAACATTTGTGAACCACTGACGTAGATTTTGTGAGCTGTAAATGATGTACTTCCTTCTCTTAAAGCAACATTTCAGATAGTAGAAGTGTTTCTCAGGAAAAATATTTAAACTGTTCATATCTTACCTTTTGTTCTTTCCATGAGTTTGGATGGACAGATTAGTTCTGACCAGGACCTGAAAAATGACCACATATCTGCTGTCCGAAAAATGTTTGTTTGTTTGGGTTAGCTCATCTAAGACTGGTCAGCCCATTTTTAAAGCCTGAGAGACCACGCACAGTGACTAACATGAATATACCAAGATTTGGTCCTACAATGGTTTTCAGCAGCTCAACAAATACTACACACACCACCCTTCACACACTGATATTCCTGCTTGGATGGGGGATCTCGTGAGATTAAAAGTGACTCCAGAGGAAACAAACATGGTGGAGGAGGGGCATGCAGCACTTCATCGCCTTTCAACAAGCTGTACACTTATTTGTTCCCATAAATCAGACCAAGACCATCCATCATGTTTCACAGCCCAGATTTCTGATCGGAGCAGTCCCGATGTAGCCTGGCAAACCATCCTACATGTGAATATATGGTCTATAAAGTCTGGCCACAAACCACTAAAAACTGTAAGTCGTGGGGTGGGATCTACTGTTGTCGTTCGAACTGTCTGCACTCACCACTACAGATGTCAGTCAGCACATCAGTCTGCCATACACTGCTGAAGAAGACAGAAATCAATAACTTTTCGGAATAAACTCAAGTACCTCTATCTGCTCTTGACTCAAAGAAAAGCACAAGTCTAAATAATCCAAAGCCATTTCAAACGAGCTGTCACCATCTTAGTTTTGCTCAGTCGCAGTAACATCACACCCACCAAACAGATAGAGGGCTGTGATTGGATCGGCACCACTGTCCGGGGCAGCGGAAGTTCCAATGGACCATGGCTTGACCATCCTCTTGCTTCTGCAAACTGGCGGTCTAGATTCTAGTGTAGTCCCGATGTGCCTCCGAGCAGACCAAAGCACTTGTAACTCACCACACACGGTCAGATTATCTGATAAGATTATCTCTAGAGCTGTTATGTAATCATGCTTATCTACAATCATCTGTTCAGGCTGGCTTTGTGTGACCTCTTGTTCATCCTCTTCTTCCTCACTAGCTTCTTTTCATGCTGTTGTTTCTGTCGATTCTGTCTTTTTCAGGATTTCGTGATAACCTTTTTCATTTTTTTATTATGATATTTAAAAAAACATCAATAATTTTAATATTGTGAAGCACCTTATGATTTTTATCTTCAGAGGCCCTATATGAAAAATTGTTTCCTCTTCTTAAAAACACCATCAAAAGAGGGGAAAGTAGGCCAGAATCGGCCTTGTGAAAACGGTTCAGTAAGATCAAATCTCTTTTTCTGCACACTGAGGCCATTCAATCCAATTCAATTCAGTTCAATTCAATTCAATTCAATTCAATTCAATTCAATTCAATTCAATTCAATTCAAATCAAATCAAATCAAATCAAATCAATTCAGTTCAGTTCAGTTCAATTCAATTCAATTCATATCAAATCAAATCAATTCAGTTCAATTCAATTCAATTCAATTCAATTCAAATCAAATCAAATCAATTCAGTTCAATTCAATTCAATTCAATTCAATTCATATCAAATCAAATCAAATCAAATCAAATCAATTCAGTTCAATTCAATTCAATTCAATTCAATTCATATCAAATCAAATCAAATCA